TTGGTTTGTTAATAAGACTACTCTGGTCGTGCTGTTCTTGATTCACTATGGGGGAAAAAATTGGCTCGTGAGAATCATTTGTTCCTGAACCAGGCCACACTCAGTGGTTGCACTTAATATGTTTGATTCAGTAAAAAAGTGCTCATAGGTGTTGTTTGTTCAAGAATCTAGACTGGCAGTGTTGTACTTTTTCATGAACCAAAAAATTCAGGGACCAATCACACACATGCAAACAGTTTATTTTGTAGTCTTGATTATATTTAATTCAACAGGAAGTATTAAACATTTCAACTGCTTTGACAGTAAGTTGAGTTATACAGTAAGTACATTTACATTGTGATAACTTGATAAGTGTTGCCTACAAGTATTATAGATTTACATATCACTAATAGCCTACATAGCACCTAGACAAATTGTGCGCAAATCTTTAACTTTACATTTAAATATAATAATTTAAATGCCTTAGTAAGTCTGACATTTCTTTAAAATAGTCAACTAACCAAAAAATTCAGGGACCAATCACACACATGCAAACAGTTTATTTTGTAGTCTTGATTATATTTAATTCAACAGTCAGGAAGTATTAAACATTTCAACTGCTTTGACAGTAAGTTGAGTTATACAGTAAGTACATTTACATTGTGATAACTTGATAAGTGTTGCCTACAAGTATTATAGATTTACATATCACTAATAGCCTACATAGCACCTAGACAAATTGTGCGCAAATCTTTAACTTTACATTTAAATATAATAATTTAAATGCCTTAGTAAGTCTGACATTTCTTTAAAATAGTCAACATAGACATGTAATGCGGTCAATATCTGGAACTACTTTAGCCGTGAGTTTCTCTGAAAATATTTGCATTCAACGTTCGTCAGCCAATCAGATTCAAGCATTCAACAGCTCCGAAGTATAACTACAAATAATCTAAATGCAACTGCAGGTCCTCAGAATAAAATATAAAGAGTGGCCCCTAAAAAGTATTTGAACACTTATGTCACCCTTTAAATTAATTTCACTGCATTAGATACAAAATATCAAGCAAGTGATACCTGCAAACCACCTATTCTAGAGTTTTACTTAAAAAAAAAAAAAACCTCACATAACTTCTCTATTTTTAACCAAATTGGTCTCCAGGTCATTTTTAATGGCTGAGTTAAGTTTCCATGTCTAAAATAGGTTGCAAAGTCTTTGCAATTCATTTATTTGGCTAGGCCTATGTGTTAAAAAAGCATATGTAGGCTACAAATCAGGGTATCCATTTCACACCATCTCTAGTTTTACAGTTTTATGAAAATATATAAGAATAAGTCCATTTGTACATGAAAGATCTCCACCATTCGGTGCTGTAAAGTTGGTTTTATGTTAGACATTCGTTAGAATAGTGTTTTCCAACCGGGGAGCCATGAAAAAATTCTTCAAACTTTTCTAACATGCTAAAATGTGTATAAAACATTTAATATATATCATAAATATCTGATGCCTTAAATAATAACAAATAAGACACACATTGAAAAAAAAATCATAACTCCCTCCCGCTCGACCCCCTCACTGACCTGTCAGCACGTCAGTATGCCTATAGCGTATGCATGCGTTTTATCCTTAGTAATTAATCCTAAAGATTCTTCTGGACCATCAGCTTCATCTTCCTTTATCCTTTATCGGAGATCTATCATGTCCTCTTCCTCTGTGACTGGTATGTGTGGACAGACTGTCAAATGAAGCAATGGTTCCTAGCAAACTAAAACAGCATCTGACAAAAAAAAATCACCCATCACTATAAGCAAGGACACAGAATAATTGAAACAATTAAAAAGGCAACATGAAAAACAAGAGGAAGTTATGATGAAGAGTGCAATAATGTCAGACAAAGCATTGAAGGCCAGTTATTTTGTGGCTAAAATATTAGCCAAATCGAAAAACCCCACACAATCGTTGAGACTGTAATCTTGCCTGCATGCAAAGCCATCGTTAAAACCATGCTAAGCCCACAAACTAAGAAAGAAATATCAAAGGTTCCCCTGTCAAACAATACAATTAGCAGGTGAATAGATGACGTCCTTAGACATTGAAAGTGTGGTTTTGGAAAAAATCTGATCTAGGATGTCTCAGTGCATGTACTGATGGGGCCGCTGCCATGACGGGGAGCACGAAGGGCTTCATTAGCAGACTCGGAGCACAAAACCCACAAGAGAAAGCCACTCACTGGGAGGCAACTCGCCCTCTGGCGTTCTTTTGTTGAACAGGGCCAACTTGATATGTTTCCCTTGTGCAAAGCACACTCAAACAGCAAACTCCCTGAGCTTATCGCCCAGCATCTTAAATTCCTAGAGGAGAGGTTCAGCTTTTATTTTCCAGCTGAGTCTAATGCTGAGTTTGACTGGGTCCTTGATCCTTGGAGTTAATCGGGACTGAAAAGTTCAAAAGGCATGCCACTGTCTGCAAGTGCAAGAACAACTTGCGGAACGAATGGAAGATCGCAGTTTAAAAATGAAATTTCAAGACATGGCTTTGGACAGTTTTTGGATAACTGTGGAGAAAGATTATCCAGCTGTTGCAAACAGTGCCGTTGCAGTAGCCTACTGATGCCATTTTCCACAACCTATTTGTGCGCAGGGGCGCCGCTATGGTTTCTGGGCCCCCTGAACAGCATATTGACTCATGCCCCCTCAGCGATTGTGTTCGGGGTGGGGTGGGGTCTCCACCGGCCCTCAGTAATAATCGTGTTCAGGGATCCCTCTCCCTCATCAGAACTCCCACCTCCCACTGGCCCACCAAATTACACAAGGACTAACAATAGGCTACATAAAATAACTATGGTACTACTTAAATAAATGTTTGATAGGCAAATAATATCGCAATGTAAATATTTTTGTATGAGAAATG